GAGTTTTTTAAAGGAACTGAATAAGTGGGTTTTTGTTGTTTGTTTGATATATATGATCCTAATGAGTTTATTGGGCTTGCTAACAGACCATAGGGTGAGGGTTTATTTACAGAAGAGTGGGTGCCCCCCATTCATTTACAGCTGGGCTGGAAAGTCCATACCAAATATAGATCTGGTGACTTCCTGACAGATGCATAAAATGGCAAGAGAGATACCTCATGTTCTCAGCTTATATATCCTTAGCCCCTCTCCCACATGTAGCTAAGGTTGACTGATTGGGTGGGAGGGGTAACTGAATCCCCTATGGACTCCTTGATGAGCATGGGAAGGAGGTGTGACTATAGCTTGCTGGCACAGTGGTCAGAGGACACTTCCAGTTAACACTGCACCCCTCCCTCCAGCTCTTACATTCTTTCCTCCAACCTCTTCTACAAAAGTCCCTGAGCCTTGGGAAGGGGGTTATAAGTGTGGGATGATCTTCCTCCCATTGTGTCAAGGCATTGAACTTTCAAGTCTCTGCATCATTTGTTTTCCATGGGCTTTCGGCCCATTTCAGTGGGATTCCATCTACTATAAAAATGCAAACAGCAAGAAGCAAGAATATCTAAACAGTGGCTGCTATAATAACTTAACATATGGGTGTAAACACAAATGCTTGGTTGGTACTTTAGCAGGTTCATCACATCAATCTAACAAAATAATAGTGGTGGCTTCCCCACTAGGGCTTATATCCTTCCCTGCTGCAGGGGGTTGGCCTGGTCTATAGTGCCAGGTGTGTGTTCCACCTCTAGGAGCAGGCAATATATCCAATCGAAAATTTACTGGTTGTACATACACTAGATGTGCCACTATTGCACCAGCTGGAACATCTTGTTTGTCTTGTTGATAGTGCAGGATGTGGGGTCCATCGCTGAGCAGAATTATAGGGGATAGTTCTCCCCTAGCCATCTGCATGTTACCTTCTGGCACTATGAAAGGCACCCATCCAGTGGCAGGGAGTTTCCAGCTTAGTCCAAGCTTGATTTCTCCCTCTCCCACACTCACATCATGAGATGTCTTCAGCAATAGGTTTTTACCATCCACTTCCGGTGTACAACCAACATTATTTTCAATGGCCTTTATTGTTCGGGGGACCTCTGGGGCCCCTCTGGCCAACAGCTCATAGGGCGGCAACCCACCTCTGATACTGGGATTTTCATTTAATAACCGTATGGCTTCTGGTAGGGCTTTCTTCCATCCCTGTAGGGTTCTTTCTGTGCTTAAGGCTTTTTTTTAAAAACTGTATATCGGGAGAATTTTTCCCCCATTTATTTCCATAGTTCTTTATAGCCCTCTTCCCTTCCTCTTTAACAACCCCCTTTTTGTATATTTCTCCTTTAGTAACACCTTTCTCCTACTGTTCTTCTCTCTTTGGTTCCTTCTTTCCCTTTACCTCCCTGGTTCCCTTCCATATTCCTGGTTCCTGCAGTTACATCAGGATATGCACTCACTTATAAGGATTTGGTGCTGGGATCCACAAACGAGGGAGAGCATACGTCTTTTGTTTTTCTGAGTCTGTATTACTTTTATTTTTATTTGGCTTTCTGACTGTTCATATATTTCACCCAATTCCAATACACTGGCCTAAGTTTTTCCCTTTTACTACTAGGAGGCTAGTTAAGACACTAGATTCTCTGAGGGTACCCCTTTTCATTAGATTGCAATCATGGGAGCTTTCTTTATCTTTGGAAGAATTGAAATATTCCTTTATGTCTATATGTTATATGGAGGTCCCAAGAGGACAAGGTCCAATGGTCTTGCCTTTCTAATGGCATGATGTGACTGACAGGCCACAGGGCATTGTGGACCCCTTTTGGTTGGCAAGAAAATCCTTGTTTAAAACCCAGAGCTGTGCTGATTGAGGGAAGCCACCAAAAAAAAAATGGTTATGGTAAGTAAAAGAGGGATCCTACTGTGTTCTTTCTTCAGGGAGCTACCATCAAGTGCCACGAAATAACAGGGGACATCCTGGTGGCCAGGGTCATCCATGGTGGGCTGGTCAAGAGGAGTGGTAAGCTGGAGTGGCAGGGTGAGAGTGTGGCCTTTCCAGAGCAATTCCTCTCTTCACTTAGGTCAGGGCCTTTAGATGTTCTCTTGTTTGGTTAGAGCAGTAAAGAATGAGACAAGTAGTCAGGCTTGGTGGTGCACATTCTTTAATCCCAGCACTTGGGAGGCAGAGGCAGGAAAATCTCTATGAGATTGAGGTCAGCCTGGTCTACAAAGTGAGTTTCAGGCCAGCTGGGGCTGCAGGGAGACCCTGTCTCAAAAAGACAAAAACATTTTTTTTTAATTTGTAAAAAAAGAATGAGACAAGTTTTCTAAAGGACTTCTGCCCCCTCATTCAGAGACCCCCTCACATGCTAGGCTCCATGTGGATGCACTCTTGTTAGCATTCTCAAAGCAACCTGAAAAAGGTAAACATTATCAGCGCACTGTGTAGAAGGAAAACTGGGCCTCATGGAGTTTCAATAACTAAGGTGATCAAGATTACGCAGTTTGAGTCAGGATTCAAATCCCTGATTCTATATTCTCAGCTTTTTATCCTTCTGCTTTCAAAAAGGGCAGAGCTCATTTTCATCTTGAAGTGCCTTTGTTTGCTCTTTCCACCTGTCAAACAAATCTTCCTTTCACCTCTGTGCTTCCAAAACTAGTGCACATGCTGCCTCAGGTGCCAGCTGCCCACAGCCCTGCGACCTGTCCCTGGCTGACACTCCAGCACCCTTCTGGAAAATCCTGAAGAGTTCCTCATTGCCAAGCCACTTGGCCCTTGTTTCACCTTCAGTTCCATTTTTACTTCTCAACCACATGGTGCCGTAGACACCTTGTTTTCGTCACCCTCGATTTCCCTCCCAGGAGCTCATTCTGCTTCCTGTCTCATCTCTCTGATCCTCCACTGACTCACCTCATATTTCTCAAGGTTTTAGAAAATATGGACACACAATAATGAGTAATTAATGAACTACAGTGTGATAATAGAATTCATGTATACAATCTGTAATGATAAGATCGGGGTGTCTAGAATTTCCATTTCCTGGGCTGGAGAAATGGCTCAGCAGTCAAGCAGACCTTGCTGCTCTTCAAGAAGACCTGAGTTCAGATGCTGCACCCATGTTGGGTAGTTCACAACCAGCTGTAACTCCAGCACCAGGGGGTCTGACCCCCTCTTCTGTCCTCCAAGGACTCACATGAACATGGGTGCACTTACATACATGCAGGCAATACAGTCATTCACATAAAATAAAAATAAATTTTAAAAAATCTAAAGTAGTAATAGAAACAAAGAAAATAATACAAAGAATCAATGAATCTAAGAGCTTTTTCTTTGAAAAAAAAAACAGGATAGATATATCC